GATACATTCATTTTCTCTAAAAATTAACTTAAAAGCTCCTGCTTATAGACTAAAAGTAAGGTAATAATAAAGCTTTTACTTTTTCCAGCATTTTGCCTTAAGTTACCATGCACATAGTACTTCTGTATTTTATTCTACATAACAAAGGAGGCTGCGTACATCGTACAAGACGCATAACTCGAGAATTGGACTTTTAGTTCATATCAACAGCCGGCGGATTTCTTTGTTCATTTGCATTTGTAATTCGATGTGAATATCCAAGTATTTACGGAAAAGGGAGATGTTACTGTTTTTGTTATAAACTTAATTACATTAAGTGCTTTAAGTTTTTTTCATATAATTTTCTCTACCAGACACAGAACCTGTTAGTGGTTAGTAGTTGTATTTATGTACGTATGTATATGACGTGTTATCCATATACCACGAACATCATCTTTGGTGGTTACTCATCTTGTGGGCGTTATCAGGGCTCATAAATCTCTGATCTAAATTCAAAATCAATTTATAAGCAATAAAAAGGTATATATGTATGCAACCAGTCCCACTGCTGGCTACGAGCTTCCCAATACGAGAGGGATTAGGCTGATCGACCACACTGGCCCAGTGCGGGATGGCGGACTTCACATGTCTTTCGAAAACTTGCTATATTCTTTTAGACATGCAGGTTTCCTCACGATGTTTTCCTTCACCGTAAGACGAGTGGTAACCACGTTGGAAATGATTCGCGCATAACAATATCAGAGGTGCGAGACCTGGGATTTGAACCCGCATCACTCGGTTTCCCAAGAGAGCACGATACCACTGGACTACCACTGCTACTTTTAGTAGCTAATTTAATATTAATTAAAGTAATGTTCAAATTTGATGAACCAAAATTGAGTAGGTTTCTTTGTCACAACAGTTAAGATTAAAATTGCTAAACTTATAACTTCTCTTGTCATCTCATTAGTGAAAGTTTTATTAAAATAACTAAGTTCAGGTTTTATCGGAAAATATTGTATCCTAGAAAAAAGTACTACGTCAAAGAATACTAAAAAAGACGGAAACAAGTTGAAGTAAGAACATAGTATTATGCATTTGGAGATATATGTACATACAACACTCGCAGAAAGTTTAAAACATCTAGGTCTCTGATTGTATTATATTCATCTATGCATATATTTCGTTTGCTTTATACTCAGTTTGCTTGTTTTTTGTAATTTTATTTCTTGCACAAAATTTTCAATACATTAGTAAAAATCTCATCAACATTGGTTCCAAACTACAGATACAGAGGCCGAATCTATAGTTTTTAGAATTTTTGTCTGTCTGTCTGTCTGTTACCGCATCACAGAAAAACCACTGGAGGGATTTTGATGAAATTTAGTAGGGTTATAGCTGGTTATCCGGGTCAATATTTAAGATAATTTTTACCGCAGTAAAATATCTCACTTCTGAGAAAAAATACAAAAACTGCAATGTAAGAGTATACTAATATGTAAAACTTAAAAAAATGTTTTTTGGTCATCTGAACGCGGGCGGAACCGCGGGTAATACTAGTTATATATAATATACTAGCTTTCTTTATGGTTATGGTACAGACAACAATTTAAAATTCTAAAAGATATAAATTTAATTAGTTCAATTTCGTAACTCATCTATTTTTAGCAAACTTAAGTAATCATGTTAGTAAGATATTATTTGATAATGGTATTTAAATTATTCTACCTCAGATAACTCTACTTATAGAATTTTGGTCGAAAATATTTTTTTTATCTAAACATACATATAAATAGGTACATAAAGTTAGCTCATTTTTAGCATCGTATGGTTTCCAGAAACTTTAGGTAATTGGATACTTTCTGAGAATTCTTTGGTTTTGAGCCGTAACGTGATCCGAATTGTGATGTGTAATTTTGTTCTGAAGCAAACAGAAAATTGTTTTACTGTAAGTAAATATATAAATAGAGAGTATTGAGTACAAAAGTATTTACGCTTACTTGTATGAATATTGGTTGCTATTTTTGCTTATGTTATTTTGTTATATTATCTGTTTATAATAATACATTTTCGACTTTAAAATATCTGATTAGGTATCTATAGTAATTTAAATTTTAGTATCTAGAAGCCGGTTCTTATCTTATTTTTTAAGATTTTTGTAAAGAATTATGAATAAGACACAAACTTAAACTTCGTATAACTAAGTACATAAAAACTATTCAGCAGATCTCTTTACAACAGCAGTATAAGTGTCTGGACCTGTAACTTATGATGTAAGTCTACGATATAAGTGATGATGCTCTCACTAGTGTATACACCTCCAGTTTAATGTTAATATTAAAGTCTATGTTTCGAAATAATATTTTGCACATGTTAGTTTCCCGATTAATTCTATTGACCTAATCCAAACATTTTCTAAAAAAAAAGAAAATATTTTTAACTAGCGACTTACCCTAGCTTTTCTCGGGTCCGTCCCTAGGTACGTTTTAACGGTTAATATAGAATAGAATTTATGGCATAAAGAATTAGACATTTAATTACAATGTACATAAATACTTACATATAAAATAGTATTTAACCCAAAAAAATATATCCCTCACTAGACTCCCCTTTTCGAAGCTTTGAGAGAGGTTTTTCGGGATGAAAACTATCCTATGTCGTTTCCAGGGTCTCGCACTATCTTCGAAACAAATTTCGTCTAAATCAGTTCAGCGGATTAAAAGTGAAAGGTGACGGACAGACAGATAGAAAGACAGACAGAGAGAGTTTGTTGAAATCGGTTTATTACTTTTTGCGTGAAACGCGCACATACAAACAGATAAACAGACAAAAATTGTTTAGGGGTCATTGTTTTTAAAGAATATTTAATGTACAGATTTCGCTAAGTTACTGTGTTAGTATATATACGTATAGATTAAGTAATAAAAAAAATCGAAAATACTATCTTTTATTTTACTTCTTCAATTTATCAAAACATTGCGCACGGCGGTTAACCCGTGATATGCAAGTTGATACAATAAATGATAATTGTGGACAAGTTCATTATAATTACGTACTGATGTACCTTGTAAATAAAACTATATTTTAGTCACTAGACTGACTCAGTCTCTCCCGTGACCATGATTGATGTAAAGCATTTAAAACGTCGGGAACCAAAAATCCAAATAAATCCGCGAAAAAATCCGAAAAGATAGTTTTATTTAGAATGTCAAATATTCGCGTAAATCTAAGAAAGTATTACTTAGGTACCTATTAACATATGGATATACCAATAAAATGTTCATTAAAAGATATTGCGAGTGTACCTTAGGAAATAGACTTATGCTATTGCAGATTTTTCTGTAGGTCTTATTAAGACCTACATTTTCTAACACAGCGTTTTGATGTATCTCCTCGATAGAACCAGTTATTATGTTTTCCGTGGGAATGACAGATTTTCCTGCAGTAAAAGATGTCCTAAATATTGCCCCGAGTTATAAATCATCACTACAAAAAAATTAGTTAAAATTGGTTCAGTATTTCGCTAAGTTACTTGTTTTATTTCATTATATTATGTGTAGAAGGTAGGTAAAAACTACAAAAAAAAACTCTATAAAAGGTTTCATACAAAGTTTCATCCCATATTTTACCAAAAAAAAATGAAAATAAAAAAATTAAATATACATAATATGTATAATATATTTATTTTAATAAAAATATAAATAAGCTCTCGCGTTAAATTTCTACTTTTTACCGCGAGAGATTATGTCACTCTTTAGCCCTCCAACTATCTCCACACAAAAATCACGCCAATCTGTCACTCTATTTTGACGTGAAAGAAGGAACAACAAACAAACACACTTTCACATTTCATTTTATAATAATAGTATGGAAGCATGGATTATTGTGACAGCAAAACGAGGTGTGCGATTTGATAACCTTTATCAACACGTAAGATTAGTTATCAAATCGCTTTTTCTTAAATGCATAAAGATATATTTTGTTTTTATATTGGCAATTATTAACAATTACCTTTTTGTTTTTTTTTTGTTTTTTACTTCACATAGGTATCTTTTTCTACTAAATTAGCGACTTACCATGGCTTCGCTCGGGTTCATCGTCTTCAGATACGTTTTAACGGTTAGTATATAGAATAGACTATATATATATATATATATATATATATATATATATATTATCTAATGCAAACAAATTTTTTGGGGTCTATAATGTATACATAATACGTTACAGTTACTTTTTTATTATATAAAAAAAGTGTGTAACGTAACCTCACTTTTTTTTCTGTCCGCTTCATATGAAATGCCCCATATGTATAGATTAGGCCTATGTATTTAATTTAATATTTTCCCAATCAAATATTAATAACATATAGATGGTAAAGCGCGCTCTGGAGTCTGGACTAATTCGCATGAAAACAAACATAGTACATAATGCTTTAAGTATGACTTCACTCTCACCTATCCAATAGTTTTCCAATGATGCGTAATTAAATGGCCGTTTGATTTAATTTGAACACGCCCAAAATTTAATTTTTATAATTTTTGATACATGTATATTTAGGCCTAAAAATAACCTTTTGTTTTTAAATTTTCTTTCATTGCCTACTATTTGTTCATTATAATTGAAACTAATAATAACATTCAGCGTTAAGCACGAAAAGATCTTCTATAAAAATCATATGACCCAATCTATAGTATTGCTGATAGTGATTATTCACAATTGTTTCCTTAAATAGTTTCGCAACAATTTGATAAAACTAATTCCAATTCTAATATTGAAAGATATTGCATGTACCTAAATATCTGACTGACCTTGGCAACCTATTTTCTTTATAAAGTAAACTACTTCTTACATAAAATATAATGCATGCCGTTGCCATCAAGTAAGTTGAAATCAAATGTTTTTATGTAGATGATGTTTAAATTGTATATAATTTATTCAAAATTAAATAAATGCATTAATATATCCTGATACCCATATATTTATATATTATTCTTTAAATAAATTAAAAAAAAACATCAAAGATTACACAATCTAGAGCTTCTTAAGCTTTTCTTTAAATTTTCAGCCAACTTATCTATAAACTCAAATGTTTCATAGTAATCAGACCTCTTAACGTTGTTCACGCCCTTGATGCAAATAGCGAGGTCTTTAGTCATGATTCCTGACTCGATGGTTTTGATACAAACACTCTCAAGAGTTTCGGCGAAGTTCTTAAGTTCATAATTGTTGTCTAATTTTGCGCGGTGTAGTAGTCCCCTGGTCCAGGCAAAGATAGAAGCAATGGGATTTGTGGAGGTTTCCTTTCCTTCTTGGTAGAAACGGTAATGTCTCGTGATTGTACCATGAGCTGCTTCAGTTTCAATAGTTTTTCCATCAGGGCAAATTAAAACTGAGGTCATGAGACCCAAAGATCCGTATCCTTGAGCAACAGAATCTGACTGCACGTCACCATCATAATTCTTGCAGGCCCATACAAAACCACCTTCAGATTTCATGACGTAAGCAACCATATCATCGATTAACCTATGTTCATACCAAACACCGGCACTTTCAAACTGGCTCTTGTATTCCTTATCATAGATCTCTTGGAAAATATCCTTGAAACGGCCATCATACTTTGTGAGAATGGTGTTCTTTGTGCTCAAATATAGAGGGTATTGCCTACCCAAGGCGTATTTGAAGGATGAATGTGCAAAGTCAATAATTGATTCTTCTGTATTAAACATACCAAGAGCAATACCTGCTCCCTTATACTCATTTCCAACATATCTTATAGGCTCACCCGATTCAGGAGTAAATATAAGTTCTAGTTTACCCGCGCTAGGAACTACAAAATCTGTCGCCTTATATTGCGCGTGACGTCCGATTATGATCGGCTTATCCCATCCAGTGACGAGACGTGGGATATTCTTACAGACGATGGCTTCTCTAAAAAGAGTTCCCCCAAGGATATTACGAATGGTAGCATTAGGACTCTTCCACATTTTTTTTAAATTGTACTCTTCAACTCTTTTCTCATCAGGGGTTATGGTGGAGCATTTGATACCAACGTTATACTTCTTGATAGCATTAGCGCAGTCAATTGACACCTGATCTTCAGTTTCATCACGATTTTTCAATCCCAAGTCATAGACGTGCAATTCAATATCCAAAAATGGTAAAATTAGTTTATCTTTAATTAAATCCCAAATGATTCTCGTCATTTCATCACCGAGAACGTCAACAACGGGTCCAGCCTTTATTTTCGACATCTTGAATTAAAATCTGCAAGAATATAAATATTAAATTATTAATAATTAGATTATAGATTATTATTTACTTAACATATCCCAATACATTTATCTTAATATATGGTATTAGGTAAAAGATGCTTACTTACTTTCTTTTCCTCACTAATATCCAACAGGTCAACAGCCGAATTTAAGGGAAACTATTAATTAATTAAATTGACTGATCGTCGATTGATCAGAGCGCAGAGGGAGCAAAGCCGAGTGAAAGGTGAATCAATAGGTACGCGTAGTTACGTAATCACCACTCAGTAATCAAAAGTCAAAACCACAGAGTCCGATCAAAAAACTTTAACGATGTTAAGTAAATGACATTTGGATTTTGACTGCAGATGTCAAAATGCACATTTTCAAAACGATAAATTGGTGTGTTGGTTCAGGAGATAAACTTTAACTCCTGAACCGAAAAGACATATTATCTTTTTATTGGTTAGTGATTATTTTATATTGCTTGCCGACTATTCTGATTAGATATCACGCTAGCAGAACCCGCGTCTTAGCTCGCGCTGAAACTACAATACATCTCTTTGGCTTTATGCTGTTAGTAATAATGTATCGAAGTCTGCCCGATTTTTTGACATTTATGATTACTGCCTTGAGTAATACCATGGTGATATATAGCCTATAAACCTTCTTCAATAAACGGGTTATCTAATGCAAAAATAATTTTTCAAATTGGATTATTCATTCCTGAGATAAGCGCGTTCAAACAAACAAATAAATAACCTTTGCCTCTTTATAATATTAGTATAGATTTTTAATATTGACACTTTCCTTCAATTAGAAATTATTTTTAAAAGATTTTATATTAAAGGTACGATACTTATAAGTATGTCTATCAAGTAGAGTTAAGTTAAAGGCTCTGATTGTAAATGGTGCCTGTCTTAGCGATTGTTTTGGGATCTGACATTAACACGAAGATACTAAATATTTTAACATCTATATATAGATACTTTATTGTATAACTAGCGACTCACCCTCGCTCTGGTTCGTCCCTAGGTTGATTCCTCATACAAACTTTCATCCCCATTTTCACTCCCTTAAGGAATGATTTCCAGGATAAAAAGTATTCTATATCCTTTCCAGGGTCTCAAACTATCTTCTAACCAAATTTAATCTAAATCGCTTCAGTAACTCCAGAGACTACCCTCTACAACATCACAAACTTACAATTCACAAAATTTACCTCTTTATAATATTAGTATAGATGTATACTCCCAATATCATCAATCATATTAAAGCAATAAATTGAATGAAAAGAAATGATCTGTAGCTAATATTTTAGTTCAATTACTTGCTGCTACGTAAACGTAAATTCACACTTTCATTTAAATTTGACATATATCTATAATCCATAAATTCAACCAGCTTAAGCCCTGGTATCAATTATTAAATACAATATACCCGCGGGTAGGAAGCAATACCTGCTCAATCTCATAGTGAATTGTAGCTCTATATGATTGCGTTATTGATATAAGTTGATGACCGACCGTGTAGTAACCAAAGTGTTTGTTTCTATGCCAGAGTTTGCTAGTTGGAATCCAGTTTGATGCTAAAATTTAATGCTTAAGCGAGTATTTGAAATAAGAAAATTATCAATACTAAGTAGTAAGTAGTGAGTTTTTAGTTTCTAAATAAAATTTCGTAAAATGTAATAATTTTAAGCTTTACAGAGAAATTTTTAAAGAAATTATCTTTTTGGATTTTGTCGCGGTCTTATTTTATACTAGCAGCTCTCCCTCGCTCGGGTTCGCGTCTAGAAAGACAAAAACCAAATCTATCCCACGGGAACCGTACATTTTCCGGGATAAAAAGTAGCCTGTGTTCTATTCCAAACTATAATCTATCTCTGTGCTATATATAATCTAACAACGTCTCAATGCTGAAACCAAAATAAATAAACGCAGAAATTTAAGTTATTTACATTGTATATTTTTACTTCACCAATGTAATGATGAGGCAATATCGATAATTTGCTCTCTCCCATACCGCTAATGAGGTATTTTGTAATTAAATTAATTGGAACCATATTTTGGCTTGAAAAAGGTATTTTTATATATTTTTAAAACATTAATGCGTGGTTTGGAAAATTTGGTGAAAATAGACTTGACCCAATATTTCAAGCTAATTTTTTATCGAAACCAAGAAAATCGATAACTCTTTCTTAATTATTCATACTAGCATTGCCCGCGGCTCCGCCCGCGTTATGATGACCAAAAACCAATTTATTAGGTTCTACAATATTAGTATACTCTTATAATGCAATTTTTGTATTTTTTTGAGAAGTGAGATATTTTCACACGGTAAAAAGTATCCTATATGTTGACCCGGATAACCAGCTATCATCATACCAAATTTCATCTAAATCTGTTCTGTGGTTTTCTCGTAAAGCGGTAACAGACAGACAGACAGACAAAAATTCTAAAAACTATAGATTCGGACTCTGTATCGATACAAATGTCTATTTCAATTAGATTTTCCAAAAAATGTTTTATGTACATATTCGCCTTAATTACAATTTTATTATATGTATAGATAACGGTTGGATGCATAATAAGTCTTTATATCGAGGACTTTAAATCTCCTATTACAATGTGGCCCAAGCTGGGATCGAACCTGCAACCCCCGCTTTAGTAGAGAAAGCTATTCAAATACATGCGTCATGACAACATCCTGCCATTACAGGAATCAAGATATAATTCCAATAATAATTTGTTATTTGTAAGTAATACGTATTATTATTAATATATTAATACCGTTATCGATCCCTTTCTGATAATGACGTATTTTGTAATGAAATCAATCAACTTGCTAATGGTGAATATGATATGACTCAGCAATGTTTTCTCTCAAATGTTATGTTTACATACTACATAGTTAATGTTCTAAGTTTTGTCCATATGTATATTTTTATGTAGACCACAGCTATTCAATATGGCCATTTTCTTAAACGAAAAATAATTTCAGCCAGGTTTTTTTTATATTTACACCTACTATACCGATTAAAACTAAACGCTACATCTTTATTGTACTTAATAGTTCGAATTCATATTTAAAATTCTTTATTTAATATTAGCGACTAGCAATCGCTTCGCCTGGGTTCGTCCCTAGGTTGATTCTCCATCGCCATATTCACCCCTTAAGAGATAAATTCCGGGACAAAAACCATCTTATGTCCTTTCCAGGATCTCAAACTATATGCTTACCAAATTTCATCTAAATCGGTTTTGTAGTTTCGGAACCTACTTTCGGAGCGCTTTTCAATATTAGTATAGATTGGTATTTCAGAAATACATTATTATTTGTAAAAAAACTGTACTAACAGTTTAAGAAAATGTCTTACTGCCGAGAAGTACTTCTGAAAGAAACTCAGTGATAGTTTTTGAAGTGAAACCTTCTATAGGCGGGTTTGAATTGGAAGTAAATTTATGTAAGTCGTCATCGACATGGTCACGTGACGTATTAACGCTGATATTCAGAGTGCCGATAGATGTCAAAACCAGATAAAGGTAACAGTTTTATTTTTTTACAAGTGACCATAAAAAGAAGTCGCTATCCACTTTCTGGCCATATTGTCAATTACTTCTATGAAGTATTTTGGTGTTTGTCCAGTGGTCAAATTCGACCATAATTATTATTGAAAATTTGAAGAAAATATATATGAAAAGAATTTATCTACTTGTATACTATATAAGCAGTAGCTTTGTATAGGCAGTGGTAGCCCAGTCAAATCCCGGGTCTTGCACCTCTGGTATTTTCTTGTGCGAATCTTTTCCAACATGATTACCACTTGTCTTAACGGTGAAAGAAAACATCGTGAGAAAACCTGCATGTCTGAGAGAACCTAGCTAGTTTTCAAAAGACATGTGAAGTCGCCAATCCGCACTTAGTCAGCGTGGTGGACTATGGCCTGATCCCCCTCATACTGAAGGGAGGCCCGTGCCCAGCAGTGGGACGTTAAAAAGGGTTGAATACACATACTATATAAGAGAAACGGTTTCTAAATATTTTTATTGCCAACACTAAAGCTCGTCAATAGCTACTGAATAAACAAAAATAAGAAATCGGTTGACAAACAGAGGAGAAAAAGGTATTGAACTGTTTGGTCTTTGCCTATTTATGTTGTAGTGTGTATGTGTATAAGCCTCCCCGATATCTATATATTGTACGACATGTTATTATTAAGAGAGTATTAAACGAACCTAAGAGCCAAACAGTTGTCTCATTAAGTTCCCGCATTATAATGTATAGATATTTATAATAATATACTATACAGTTACTTACAAAGTTTCAAATCGATATCACTTAGAAGGAACATAAAATTGACCTCCAATATTTCTAAATTAATATTTATTTAATAAAATAACAAGTAAAATTAATTGATAAAATATCAATTTTCTCGAGTGATGAAAATTGTATGATATATCTAATAAGCGTTTCTGAAATTCAGGGCATATCAGTTTTTTTTTTATAATTATGTATAAGAATATTTTTTTAGATTTTTGGCTACGAAAGCATTTTTTAGGTAAGTAAATAATATTTTAATATGTATTTACAGTCATCTATACTGTAGAGGATTTTGTTAGCGTGCTACGATAATAAAAATGGCCGGTGACACTCTTATCTGAACACTATGAAATTTTCGTTATAATTATTTCAGTTGTTTGGATATTATTTAGTAGGTTTTCGTTTTCAATTATTTTATAGGCCTTGGTATTATGTAAATATAATATTATTAATATATAACATAGGTGTTTTTTGATTTAAAGAAGATATCATTAAGTTTTATTTATAATTTAAAAATTAAGATTTTAGCGATCAAAACTAGCAAACATTTTATTTTTTTATTAAATAACTATTCAAAACGTCCCTTTTTAAAATAAACTTTGTCCGAGTGTCCAATTGAATTTAGTTTAAATCATAAATACCAAATTAATATAATGTAGATTATATTCTTAGTTTTA